CCCCAAAACCCCAAAACCCCAAAACCCCAAAACCCCAATTTTATTGAGAATTATTGAACTTTTATTTCATCTAAGGAGAGTCCATCATCCGGCTATAGTGCTCTGAATGATGGAACAAATTACGAAGAATTCTGTTATTCTGAGCTAGGATAGTTTTCTGGTCCTTTAGACTCTTCATTTTCTGTTTTTCTTCGAGCATATCTCTTCTTTGTTGCTGAGAACTCTTCACCTGATATTTTCTATCAACTTCTCTCCCTCTATGGTCTTCTTCCATACTTTTAACGCTACATCTTTCTAAATTCTGTGATTGAGCTTTCTGCACACTCCTACTCCTTCCTTGGATATCAACACCTTGACCTAAAATAGGATTTCTCTGTAAATAACTATTCTTTGGTTTCATTCGATAAATTCTTTTCTTAGGCTTAATCTGCTTTTTCTTACTATGTAATTTCTTGTCACAATTCCTATAAACCTTCTTGAGATCTCCCATTGCCACTTTCTGCTTAGAAGTTCTCTCATTCCCATTCCCAGTCAGTGATATCTTCTTAATCTCATGGATCGCTTTATTACTATATTCTAGACTAATTAGCTGTCTCTCGATGCCTCTGAGGATCATATTGCTCTTCTTAGGAATCTGGCTGATACATTTGGTTAAGCTATTTGTTGTCCTTAATGTCCTTTATGACTGTGATTCTAGGGTTCAATGCACTGTTTTTGGTAAAGAAATTGGAGCTATTTTCAGTGAAGAAACTGCTCTGCTTTGTTGTTCTAGAGAGGAAGAGTAAAGAGATTGGGTGCTTAGTGAAGGAGTTAGGGGAAATTTGGAGTTTTGGAGAGATATATGATTTTTGAGAGGTTGTAGGTAGGGAAATTGACTTTTTAGAGTGAAGAAATATTGAAAATTAGAGAATTTGAGGTATGATGTGATTTTTAAGATATTTTTGAAAATAGGTAGTTTTGAACAGATAGCGGCCATAGATTTGGGAAAATCTCTTAATTTATTTTTAATGGTTTTGAGTTATTTAAGTATGGAAATCAAGATTTGAGGATATCGGAATTACCTACTTCTCAGGAAGCTGTATATTTAGCATTTTGAGTCTCAGCTCTCAACCAAAATTATTAGAAAAACAAAAAGTATACATAAAAAAGTTCAAGTCAATCATAGAAGTTTACTAACAAACCTGCAAAATTTTACAAACCAATTTTAGTGTTGCCTTACCTCTTTGGTCACATAGCCTTCTGGTTAATTTTGGCTATTTGAGTCTGAGCATTAAAATTTACTGCTTTTAAATTTGGTTTCTATATCTTAAACATAAGATAAGGTAAGAAGCAAGGCGAATGATTCATATGAAAAAGGCAAAAATCCTGCTAGATTCGAATTGTATTTCATTCATAATATTCTGAAGTAAAAATACTGTTAAAAGTTAAAACAAGTGGAAAGCTTGTGTAATTATGATTCTAGCTGATGGTAGTATTACCATTGAATCTTGTTACAGCTAATAAAGCAAAGAATTTGAAGAAAGCAATTTGAACTGAAATTTCAAAGCCAAAGTATTACCTGTTTTGGGGATTTTAAATGGCGATATTCTACTGTTTGTGTTACTTATAGATCCAAAATTATTTGCCCCATGTTTTTCTAAATCAGGCACGGATCTTGCTACAAAGGTTAGGTATTTGTTACTTTGAAATGTGGCACGGGGAATTTGGCCGTTGCTATAATCCAACCTCATAACCTCAGTTCCCTTATCCCCACTTCCATCCTTCAAAAACCTATTATACTTAGTATAATAGTAGTCAATAGGATTTCTTTTGAGTGAAGGATTGGAAGAGTCTCTTTTGGAATTGTCGCCTGTGGGGAAGTGGGAAGGGAAGGAAGGAGGTAGGTTGAGGGAGGGGGGATTGGAGGTGGCTGAGTGGGGACGGGAGAGGAGGTGCTGGAGGTGGGTGGCGTCGAAGGTGGTGCCGCTTAGAGAGGCGTTGGGGTGGTTTTTGAGCGTGTGGATGATTGTTTTGTGGAATTTTTGGGTGTTGGAGGAGTGTGGAGGTTGCATTTGAGGGATGGAGGTTTTATTTTCAATATTTTTAATTTTTATAGGGGTTTTGGGGTTTTGGGGTTTTGGGGTTTTGGGG